ATAAAAGTGACTAAAAGACTATGTATCGTGCGCGCATGCATTCGTCGGGTGGGGTGCACGGGAGCAGATAGCGCAATGACCGTGCGGCCGCGCGCCTTCTTGCACGCTGACAGTGGAGAGTGCCAGGATAAGTAAAAATAATATTTGCAAAGCCCCTACAAAACGCGGTGGTTAGCGTGCCCGATTTGATGCACATACGACAGGTTTTGCGTAGCTAAATGTAAATTTAGAATTGTCAACGCAGCTCGCCAGGCTGTTTGCAACCAATCGATGCGTTTCGTGCTCGGCAGAAATGTTTACCTTACGTCCAATCGCGAGGGCGAGAGGCGGTCTGATCGTGCGACAGATCCAGTCAGTGTCGCAGGTCGGCATGTATTGCCCAATCAGGGCGCGAGTTAATTGTGTGACGCTTTTGGACATATTTGTAATTTATGCATAGTTAGGTTGAGTCAGAAAGATAGGCGCCGTCGGTAAGATGGGACGAAACTGTATTTTACAGGCCGAGTGTAGCCATGCGAAAAGGCAGGAAAAAGCAGCAAGAAAGGAAACGGACGGACTGACAGACGGACGGACAGGTTACAAGGTTAGGGAGCGGGAAACTAGCGCTCTGGGCGCCCGCTCCGCGGACGCTAGGGCATGGTTGGTTGGTGTAAAGAGGGGCGACCACCTCCGCTGCGCTGCGGTGGGCTTAGAATTTCTACTTGGACCACAGCTACATATAATATAAGTATGCTGTGATCTACTTATGCTACGCTCCAAAACAACACCGCACACAGTATCTATAGTGCTCACATGTTATGGTAGACATGACCAGGGTTTATCGTGATCTGCAAGATGAGCACCATCTTAGCCGGGAGGGTTTTGTCTATAATCTCATTTGAGCGCATAGCTCCCAAAATGTCACGAATCGGAGACGCGCGTGGTTGCAACGCTAATATATGCTGTACGGAAGACGGGTCAGTATCAATGATGCTACGAAATATGCGTAGATCGGTGAGGAATCCCAGTGTAGCTGGAGTAAAAATGCCTACTCACACATATTACCCATCTGCACGTCATCGCCGTGAGGCAGTCGACACATATCATCGATTGCGACGGTCTAATAGAGCAATGTTAATCAGCTCCGCGCGCGAAGTATCTTTTAGGATATGTAGTATTTGCCGATGGTCGCCACAAACATCAATATTATGCTTTGAAATTATTCTGCTGAGCTGTTTGTGATGTTACTGAAGGGTATTTCCACTATCTTCCGCATGAATTTATCTTACTTGCATAGCTGACGTACTTTCTGACTTATTGGCATAGCTACTGACTGACAAAGTGGCGTAAATCCTTTCCAACTGACATTATACTGGGTCCGATATATACGACAAACATACGAAGATATATGGCTGTAGGCAGAGTATCAGATCGTAGTGATGCTTAGACTTGATTCGAATCGTCGCTCATGTACATTATATGAGGTACTTTTCCTGCCTACTTATCAGCTCGGCGTGCTATTTGATGTGTCCGTGCATATATCGCAAGGTCGTTAATGAGTGTATTTGCCACGCGCTCGTGATAGCTCAACCTATGCATGGGGTCACTGTTTCTTTATCGGTACTTTTGCATCGTGGTGCTAGCTTTCTGCGCCTACGCTTCTGATGGATCACCCAAGCGCGCCACTAACTGGACGTAGGTCATAACCGCGGTGATACAGGCAAGCTGACCGCGCGTATGTAGGTAGTAGTCAGCGCGAAATATGCGCGCGGCGGGTACATCTTATAATCATTCGCGACTCAACCGGACTCTCGTCTCGACCATTATACACAGGAAACTAAAATACAGTACTGCGTACAGGCACATCGACTTGCGACGACACCTGTATGGTCAACACTACCATAAACGTGCTTGTGTCCATGTAGACAGCAGCATATTCATCGCGCATAGTGCTCACTCAATACTGAAGCTTACATTCGTGAGCGCACATTAATGAAATATACGCTGTGAGCGTTGGTGGTACAGATAGCATGGTTTTGCGTGTGCCCACGTGAGCGAGTGTACGTGCCATCTACGGTGACGCGTATGCAGATAGGAACCACCAACTTGCAGCGGTGCACAGTTGATTCCATGTCTTATTTTATTTTGAAGCGCGCTACGCTCTATAGGCGCGTCAACACGCTTGGTAGCGCCACAGTCAGCTTACAGTATGTGCGACCCCAAGCCTTGCACCGTCAGCCAGTATACAAACCTATGCGGGGTAATGGGCTAAAAGGGTATACTTACCAATTACTTGCTCTTCTGCTGCTTTTTCTAATCAATGTACCTGACGTTTCGGGCGGTCAGCTTGCGAGGGCGGCTGCGCCTCTTTTTCTTCTTGGGGTACCAGTCAGGACCCATCGGCTTCTTGACGTTTGACAGGCTTTCCTAGTGGCACACTTCGGCCGAATCAGGTGGTGGGCCCTTTTCCTCCCATAACGGCACACTTCGGCCGAATCAGGTGGTGGGGCCTTTTCCTCCCAGAACTCAACTGCTTTGGGCCGATCTCGCAGGCTACACAGCGCCACACGATGTCCCGCCCGCTGATTGTACGGAGTGCGTAACCGTACTGCAGCTTCCCGCAACCGACGCAGCGCGCCCGGGCATCCGTCGTAGACCACTGCGGGTCCAGCAGAAGCGGGTCAATCTTCGCCTCGCATTGCTTGCACACAGGGCCCACCATTTTGCAAACTGTGAGTAAGTTAGCAATACTTATTGTTTTAACCAATTACTTGCGTCCAAATATTAGCCAATCGCTTGGAAATATAAGGCTGGTATTTATTATTTAGAAACATATTAAAAAGTTGATACTCACGTTTTGGCTTTGCTATAATATATTATTATCCGATTTCCAAACAAATACATACTTCACGTGCAATATAAATTGCCTAAAACAATTATCTATCGTGCGCGCATGCATTCGTCGAGGTGCGGCGCACGGGAGCAGATAGCGCAATGACCGTGCAGCCGCGCGCCTTCATTGCACGGTGGCAGTGTTGAGTGCCAGGTGAAGTAAAATATATATATTCGCAAGGTCCCTACAAAAAGCGCTGGTCGTGAAGCCTACTTTAATATTAAAAAATACGATTGTCTCTACTTTAGAAAGTGTGTGGGAAAATAGCATCGCCAAGCTCGTAACAATTGCGGCCTGTGAAGCTTATATAAATCATATAGACTTTACTTTTGAAAAGTGTGTGGAAAATAACATCCCAGAGCTCTTACAAAATACTGGGCTGTGAAGTCGACATTAATAATGATAAAAATCTCTATTTTAGAAAAGGGCAGAGACCTTAGAAAACACCACTCCTTCCTGTTCCCGAAATAGAGATACTAACTATAATGTTTCCGTCTCTGAATGTCGAGACAGCGAGGAAACAGCTGCCCGTTTCCAAACAATCGAAGCGTGAGGGGGCCTCGCGAGAGA